ATTGGTTTAGTGCTAATTACCAGCTTAAAATGAGTAAATGTGACTATCTCAAATCTGACTATCTAAATGGTCATATGTGATACGAGAAAGCAGCCGTACATAAGCAGTTTGTTTGCATTAGTAAATATTTTATCTTTTGCTTTTTTTGAAGCAAATCATTCTTCCTCTTTTCTTCTTTTCGAGCTTTCAGTTTAATATTTCTGTGATTCGCTGTATTCACTGATGTTCTAAGGCACAACGAACACATCAGGAGGGAGTCGTTAAAAATGAAATCAATATGATACATAATTGGATTTTTTAAAAATTATTTTAAAAATTAAATCTTAAAAATTAAATCCAAATTTTTCTAATCGTATATTCAATAAAATATTATTTTCTCTAAAAAGAAAGTGATATTTTACAAGCATAAGATCTGATGAACAAACAATTGATAAATAGAAAATTGACTAAATAGGTCTGGTGAGCGAATAATTCATAGATTAATAGCAGATTTTGAAAATTTAAGTATACAACCTTCCATTTCATTCCTTCCTTCCACAATTTATTGATGCGTAACATCCAAATAATAATCAAACATTCAATTCCATAAAAATTGCCCTGTTCTTAATTCTAACACATCTAATGGATATTGATTTACTCAGAAAGATTTTTACTAGATATATTATATAATTTAGACGTGCATACATTTTTAATGATTACTTTCGATTCTTCTTATATATTTTTTTCAATTCGCAAACTTTATTGAAGTTTATGTTTTTAATGATAACACAAAAATATCTTAATAGTATTTTATGACTTCAATTATCGCATTAGAAATAATATAGTAAGGAATATATTGTTACATATGTTACACACACCTACCAAATATATTCCTATCAAAAAAAATATATAAATTTTCAATATAAAATATAAAGTATATTATTTATTATGATGGGCACATATAATATGAACACACAATATACAAATCTTACATACATACATAGAATTTATTAGTATGTAGACTTGTACTGAAAAGGACATTGATTTTCATTTTATTATCTATAGTATGTAGAAGAAATAAGACAAGAAACTACCAAAAAATACATAAAATATAGGAAAAAATAAAATCCAATTTAAGTTTTTTTTTTTTTTTGGCGGACATTATTTTTATGATGACCGCAAAGAATACTAAATGAAACCCTCTTATTTTTCCATTTTTTTTTTGTTTTTCATATATCAAAATATTTTATTCCTTATAATAAAACCATTTTAATACCTAATGTATTTATAGGACAATAACACACACAAAAAAAAAAAAAAACAAAAACCTAAAATAAAAGGACATAAAAGCAAATTAGTATACTCGTATGTATCACTCCTCTCATCATCATATTTATATGACTGGAAAATATTATTGAATCATAACTTTTCATTTTGCGATTTCTGAGGTCATACAAAATCGTATATGTGAACGGAAAAATTAAAGAAAATTTTATCAAAAGAAAAAATAGCCCTATTAAATATATAAAAACAAAAAGAAAAATAATATATACCGTGTACTGTAGAATATTGAGTTTATATAACCATAGAGCTACAATTCTTAATAAGAATTGAATTCCATTTGGTACCAAATTACTGCCAAAATCCTAGATATATTCATAGCTATGGCCTCCACAGGAAGTTTTATGAAGTCGCACATAAATGTACTAAAATTTTGGTGCAATTGCATGTAATCTCTTTATTGAGTAGCTCTACACAGAAAAAAATGAATTAGATTTTTCAACTAATCGTAATTAGCTGGTTTCAAATTAGGTGTTTCATATAAACAATTAGAAGTATTGACAACTTCTTTAGCTGTTTTAAAATTCACTATTAGCTGGCTCAACTATTTGGAATTAGTTGAATGCAATATTAAAAAGATTAGGTGATTTGTCTACTCATTTAGATGTATTATCTAAAATAAATAGTTGAAAAAGTTCAACTAATTTAATTAGATATTTCACCTAAACATTTAGTTATTTTAGAAAAGAAAACAAAAAAATAAGTTTACAGTTTTTATGTAAATTCCTAATCAATGACTACATTTTTAAATATTTTGACTACAACTTTAGTTGATTCAGCTATTTCATTTTATATCAAAAGATTGACTAAAACATTAGCTGAACTACCGAAAACATTAGTTGAGTTATGAAAAGATCAAAATGTTTTATTTAGAAAAAAAAAACAAAGTACCGCTACATTTCTTCTTCAATAACTACTTTTCTAGATATTTTAGCTATAACTTCAGTTAATTCGGCCACATTATTTTACTTAAAAAGGAATTAACTAAAACATTAGTTGAAATATCGGAAACATTAGCTGAATTTAGAAAAAAACACTTGTTTTATCAAGAAAAAAATTCAAAGTACCGCTACTTGTTTTGTATTCTAATTTTTGAAGTATTTGAAAAGAAGCTAGTATATGGTGAATATTGGTATAGTAAACAAGCATAGTTTACATTTTCAAGATTTTGTGAAATAAATTTTGGAACTTCTTTGGTAAGTTTTTATATAATCAAGTTATTTTGTTTAACTAACCAAAAATATTCAATTGTATTTTAGATCGAATTTTGACTTCGAGAAAACATTTTCACTTCACAAAGGAAGAACCAGAAAAACATTAAGCTTTTATCAATTTTATAACAAGATATTCAAAGGTAATTTGAAAAATAAATTTTGACTAATTTTTAAAAGTTCTATAACAATTATTATTTTTGATTTATAGATTGTAAAAATTATACTACGACTATACTATAAATAGAAGATAATACTATTTTGAAACCACAAACGATAAAATTTTACATACGTGGCCGAAACAAAAAAGCAATGGCAAACTTCAATTTATTGTAGATGGACAGAAATCTTTTGCATTACTTGTTACGAAACGTGATAAGAAAATTTTTTATTATATAAAGGAGGAATACTAACTTGCCAAAAAATTTAACAATACAGAACCTATCATCATTGTTGTTGGCTGTTTAGAAGAACGTTCATGTTTTTACATTAAAAATAATGTGAAATATCTAAAAAAATAAACAACAAAATAAAATTACTCGTAAATGAAGCAAAACTTAATTTTTAATTTATAACATTCTTTTATTTTCAGGGTTAAATCTAAATAAATTTAGAGAAGAGCCTAATTTGTTTAGATACTTTTTCTAATATAATAGGTAAAAACCCTATTATAATTAACTAAAAAATAGTTATATTTTCTATTCTCTAACTAAATAATTAGGTATATTATCTATTGTTGAGAATATTTTTTAACTATTTATTTAGGTGAAATTCCTATTTCTTTAGTTAAATTTCAAAAAGGTTTTAAAATAAATCAACTAAATGATTAGGTGAACCGACTATTTGCTTAGTTGCAATCCACCTAAATTTTTAGGTATTTTAGCTAGTATTGTAGATAAATCAGCAAATTTATTTGGTTAATTTTCCTAATTATTAAAAAGTAAATTCAGCTAATTTAAATTAGGCAATGTAGCTAAATAGTTTAGGAGGCTGAAAATCAAGCATTTCATTAGGTGATTTATACTATTGTTTTAGCTAAATGTTCTACTCTTTTTTTTCTGTGTAGATTAAGAATTTATTAGAAATTTTTTTTTGTACTCACCTAACTTTTCGTATATATTCTGTGAGAAGAGAGTAAGTGACTTTATATAATGTTACACGGTGCAATTAGCTACCTCAATTTCTTACAAAAATATTACTTTCATAACTCAATTACTTACTAACATTTGCCACACTGTTCCATAAGTATACTCCTGCATTTTTATTCGTTTATTCACTGTAATTTCGAAGTAATATGGCAGCTAACACCACAAGTCAAAAAAAATTCAATTAGTTTCATCAAATATAAGAGGCCTAATAAAATATTTCCTTGTTAATATTCGAATACTATAAATTCTATGGCTTCTGAGATATAGCCAAATAACTTTTAAAGTTGAATAGCGGCTACCCGAATCACTGCCTTTATCATATCCAATTTAAATAGGGTTCTGGTCTTTACTATTATAAATAATTTTTAATAATCTAGTTAGCTTAGCTCAATTAATTTTCGAGTTATCGTTGTGACGGACAGACAGATGGCCAAACATGTTTGAGTCAACTCAAAATTCGATGCTGGTCAAAAACATACACATATGTCTATATCTCAGACTACTATTTCTTAATGTTACAAACGATAAGGTAAATTTAGTATACTCTTCGAACATACGTCCGTACGGTTATAAAAACAAAAAAAAAATAACCTGGGAAAACTATAATATTTACTAGCAGCTAAAAGCATAATCATAAAATAGGTTTTTAATATTATTGTAAACATTATATTATTATGACTGCATGTATATTAAAAAACCAATATATTTATAAAGAACATATAAAAATAAAAAGGGCTCAAACATTAAATTTTTCTAGATTCTTATACCATTACAAAAAATATTATATATTATATAGGTTTTTATTAAAAACTATTAGTAAAATTTCCTTATATTACACAGCAGCACTATAAATGTACATTTAATTTATCTCATCACTTTCCGAATTTATCTTAGTTCCCAAAACTGAAATATCATTAGAAAATAATAAGATTACAAAATGAATATTGTATATGAAATATTGTACGAGTATAACATCATTTTGTAATTATATAGTTTGTTACTTCCTTTGGAAAAATAATGTTAGTTTGCTGTCGGTCATAATTATTATTGATTTTCATTTTAATATTATAAAAATATCTTGAGGAAAATGATTGTATAACGTTGATGAAAAATTATTTTTTTATGAAATATGCAATTTATCTGTTGTTTTTTCTAGTTGGATTGTAATAAAAATATTCTAGATAAAATATTTTTATTACTTAATGTTACTCTCATTATGTAATAGGATTTTTAATATAAAATTGGCATCAAAGGCTTTTAAGTATAGAACAGTGAAAGTATAGAACATCTTTTCATTCTAGAAAGTTAAAAGTCTACAACATAATCAAACTAATTAACTATATTTAAAATTGTAGAATTATTTAATCAAGACAATTAAGTTTTATCCTATTCCATTCAGTCCTAATTGAATTACAGGTTTTCCCAATTATGATTCCAAGGCATATCGTAAATTCGGTTACAATTCTTGAACAACATCAACAATAATTAATAAATTTGACAAAAAAAAAAATTTAAATTATTTTATTTTAACTTTAATTCTTTTCTCTGTGTAATACTCTGTTTAAGTTTAACATTGACTTTAAATAGACGTTTTAAATGTAGGTAAAGCTAATTATGCCTGTACATTGCAAATTATTTTAACAAATTGAATCCAATGGACGATTATTATTTGATTTAACTGGTGTTTTACTTCTTTGATTATAACTAGTAGATGGTTTTGAAGATGCTAATGAACCATTACTTAAAAATGTATTTGATTTTTCATTATTAACATTAGATTTTAACAATATTAAACTATTATTATTATTATTAGAACTTAAATCATCAACATTTCGATTATTATTCGTTAAATTTGGTGTTGGAATTGAATAAGATTGTATTTCTTCCATAGATTCTGATGTATCATCACTTGATGGAATTAATGAATTTTTAACACCCAAACTGGTTATTCTATCTAAAATATTTAAGAAATTATTTTATTGAAAATCATATAAAATTAAAATTTTAAAATAATTCTGAACAAACCTAATCCATTTGGTAAAATAATTTCAGCTCTAACTTCTTCTAATTGTTTAGCACTACATAATGGAGTATCAATTTCATAAGTATTATTAAATTTCATATAATCAACTTCATATTCTCCACTTTCTTTTCGAAAATTAACAACATGCTCAAAACGATGACCCCATAATATTTCTGAAGGTAAATAACTGCTACGTGCTTGTGTTGTCATACCAGTTGATTCGACTACTCCTTCTATAAAATCATATTAATTTTATAGTAATATTAAAAAGTTTTATACAAATTGCAAACTAACCAAGCATTACAACAATTTCAAATGATTCTTTTAACATATCTTGTGCAGAGAGGCTGTATAAAGGACTTTCATTTTCTATTTTATGTACAATTGTAGTTGGCCAAATAAACATTAAACGATCTTCACCTCCATCAGCACCTACTTGTAATTCTTGCTGATAAAATGGTAATTCTTCACCTTCCTTTGTAATCTAAACAATATTTTATTGAAAATTACATGACATATAGATTAATATTTGGAGAATATAATTCTAATAGAGTGTTGTGTTACCTTCTTTCTTATAAATTGTGCTCTAACATGAGCTTCAATTATATGACTTTTACGCATATCACCAACTCTAAACATTAAACATGGAACACCATCACGATGACATACAACAGCATTTCTTGAAAATAATAAAGTTTGAGCGCGTTTCTTGGGCCTATTAAAATTTAAAACTTGCTGTAAAATCTTTAACTTATGAGCAGCCACTAATTACCTCGACAATTTCGCAAATACAATTCCAACCATAAATGCCTGTATAAATACACCAGTTATTGATTGAAAAGACATTACAAAAATAGCTTCAGAACATTCTTCAGTTAAATAACGATTACCATAACCAATTGTATGTTGAGTTTCTACTGAAAACAAAAATGCTGATGTAAAACTATGAATTTCTGTAACACACATTGTAAATGTTCCATTTAATAATTGTTCAATATTAATTCCATCTTCTTTCATTTCCTCTTCCATTTGTAGATATTCTATATCACCGTGTAAATATGCAATTGCCCACCAAACAACAGCAAAAGCAGCCCATGATATTAAAAAATTTAATGCAAAAACTAATAATGTCCAACGCCATTGAGCATCAACAAGTGTTGTAAAAATATCCTGCAAATGAAATATGCAAAAAAAATGGATTTTAATGAACAATAATGGTCTTGAAACTCACGTTACCATTCAGAGAAAGTTCAATTATACTTACTTGCATATATCTTCGCCGTCGTTTTGCAACATTCCCCTGGACAACATTACAATCTCCTTGTTTAAAAATGACTCGTTTCCTGACACGACGAGAGGAAAACCGTGTCTGTCTGTACCTGTTTAAAATAAAAGAATGATCAATATTTTAAATATAATTTTAAATAAACCATTTATGTAGAAGTTAAATAGAATGGAGGCGCAATAATTTCTTATTGAAAACACCCAATATCCCAATCCAGTCTTGGGGATCTCTAATCATTTTCCAAATTTTAAATATTTTTAATTTAAATAAATTAATTTCCAATTTAATTATACAAATTATATTCAAATTTTAATTACATTTTAAAATAATATAAGAGTTGTTAAGGCACTACTAAAACTGTCTTAAGATTATGAACTAAAATATGATAATAATTATTATTTATTCTATGATATAAACAAAATTATTTATGATTTTAATTAATTTAGTAATTATGACAACTTGCTTTAGTGCTACGAATGTTTTGGTACACTAAAAATAAATTTCTTAACAAAATTAGACTATACTGAATAATATTAATTATTTTTAGCAGACATTTTAACATGAGGGCTTTAAACAAAACAAAAAAAAAAATAATAATTTTATTAAATTAAATTTCTTTTTAACAGTATGTTATAAAATTAAATGGCCTTTTCAATTGTACGTAAACCAAAAATTATATTGTTCTATATCAGGACCGTAATTTTGACTATAAGCTAAAAAGTAGCTCAAATTTGATATATACGTACATATTATGTATGAAAGATGTACCTGATCTGATTATATTACACAATATTCACTTGTCCCATATGTTCATTATTATAAGAACTAAAAAGTCTTCCTCAAAATCGGCATTAAGGTGTTCCGGTATAAAATCTGAAACCGCCAAACCTATTTTGATTTCTACAAAATTACAAAAGTTACTCTGATAACTGACGGAAATAATGTGGAAGTGTAAAACTGTAGTGATTTTGGACTACCTGTAGATTTCACAAACTTTATTTGTAAACAAATTTTGTACATATATAGATAAAATTATTGCCCTTGAAATATAATTAATCACACTTGTTAAAGAGTGCTTTTATTACAGTATTTTAATTTTTATTTACTACCTTGGACTTGAATTATAAATTAAAGAACAAAAATTTAAATATAAACTATTTATAAATGAAAAAAACACAATATTTATATGAAAACAAGAATATAATATATAGTTGATCGTGTCAGTTCTAGGACAGCAGTGCAAAATAATTCGTGTAAATTTTTCCCATGCAAATGTAACGTAATCGAATTAGAATTCAATAATGAGAGAGGGAAATATTATTTATATGTCCATATCTCACAATATTTTTTCTCAGCGTAGCAAACGGAACGGTAAAATTGTAATATACCTTATACGATTATACACGACGATATAAACATTTCTTGTGTATTTAGAATTTCTCATTATACAAATTAAGCTTTAATTAAATTGACGTTTCCTCTACTCTATAATATAGTATTTAAAGGAATTAAATAATTTGTCTTTATATAGAACTATATTTTGTATATTAATAATGACGTATGCTACTATTCAAAATTGGAATTAATATACAAAATAATGTGTGGGAAAAAAAATTATTCAAAAATATGTGATCGAAAATTAAGCAAAAATTTTTAATTTGCATGAGAACAAGAAAGTGGGAATATTAAAATATTTACCCGACTGTAATAGTAGATAAGATCTTATATAAACACATACCGTGTAATAGAGAAAGGAAATATACCTAGATATTATGCAGGTATAAAAGATGTTCAAGCATAATATTATTATGTACCTAATTTATTATGTAGGTAGGTACCCAAATAATAAATTTGTTATTAAAGTTAGTTGGTCGAGAGTTAAATTCGAAATTAAATTTATCAATATTAAGGTTGCAAACTTAAGCATAATTGAAATACTCAGCTTAGTTATTATAATTTAATGGAAATATTCGCAATGGTTAAGTTTCCATGTGCAAATTCTACTCGTATTTGGCTACATTTAAAGTACAAAATTTTTTTCGAAATATTATTTTTTGAATATTCACTAAATTTCACCATTTTAATAAAACATTTTGCCCACATTTAAGAATAATGTAATTGAATTATTAAAACTTACTCTAAAAATTCGGCAAACCAATTTTTCTTTCTATATTTTGAAAATTTAATTTTTTTCATTTTGAAAATTTATAATTATTATTATTATTTATTGAATAATGTGAAACTTCTTAAAAAATATATTGACAATTTAGAAATCAGATGAGCACAAACTTCATTTTGTAATTGCATGTGGTATTATGTGTTATTTGGAAAGAGTCAAATACCCACAATATGCCAATTTTTTGTAGAAATTCAGTGGCACATCTAATTATTCCAATAAATTTAAGTTTACTAATTTTAAACATCTTTATTATTTGGTAAGGTGCAAAAATTTTCCATATTATTTCTCATACCGATTCCGTTTCCGTAGGTTTCCGTAGTTGAATATGCGGAAGGATCTTTCAAAACTGGATGGCATACGATAAGAATGGATTAGTAAATTATGAACTGAGGCATACGATAAGAGTGGATTAGTAAATTATGAACTGAGGCATACTTTGAAGATGGATTAGTAAATTACGAACTGAGGCATACAATAAGGATGGATTAGTAAATTATGAACTGAGGCATACGATAAGGATGGATTAGTAAATTTAAAAGTAAGATAGTATGGTATGGCAAAGTGAAACTAATATATTTCCAAAAACCATTATTACTATCGTGATTAAAATCTAATTTAATAAAATATTGTAAATAATTAATTATTATCAATAATTTAATAATGGCTATGGCCTCAAATTTCTATGGTATTAAATATGGCGGCCAACTATAATACAATATGAAAATATTTACAATTTTTCTAAACTTACCTTGATAATGGTCCAGATGTTTCATTAAGATTTTTTAATGAAATTTTTAAATGTTCTTGAAATGATTCTAATAAAGTTTCTTTGCCTTTTGTTGAATGTGATGGACATGACAATTTCTCTTTAATTCCCTCATCATTTGACATTTTAATTATAACTGGAGAATTTAAATTTGAATTTTTATTATCTAATAATTTTTGTGTTTGATCTTCTCGTTGATCATCGTTTTTATTTAGAATCATTTTTTTAAATTCGAATTTTTAAAAGAACCCCTTCTATGGGTATTAAGAGGTTTAATTAAAATTATAAAATAATTATAATTTATTTATTATTTAATTAGTGAGAATTTTATTCAATTATTTTATTACAAATATTTTTAATTAAAAAATATTTTTATCAATTTTAATTTTTGTTATATTTATTTCGTTATACAATTATAAATTTTGTTATATTTCTTATTATATTTACGTTGATAAAATTGATATATACGATAATATTGTTATATAAAATAAAAAATAATTTACTAATATATAACTAAATGATCTATCTATTCACTACAGCTTATATTTCGCATGTATTTCTGAAAAATTTTGCAAAAACACGTCATAGGTATACCCACAAAACTTTCTTAAAATTTCTTAAAAGATTCATTAAGATGTAGAAATGCATGTAGAATTTTCTCTATATTTTTTTTTTTATAATCTAATTTAAAATATTTTTAATTTAATTTAAATAAAAGATTTCCCGCTTATGTCATTACACTATATATATTATTATGTGGAATTGAAAATTTAATTTAAAAATATTATTTCAGTGATTGAAGCTTATAGTATAAGTTTAAATCAGAACAGTTTTTGATATTTAATTAAAAAATTTTTTGAGAGTTAACAAATATGATTTAATTATTAAGTAAGTTTAATTATGATTTTCTTAAAATTCTAATTTTAAGATAATTCCGGAAAATCTTAAACGTCTTAACTAATTCTCAACTAAAAATATACTGAATGCAAATCTGTATTCAAAGCAGATGTTCAAAATAATTACATAGACTAATGTTAAACATGATACTGACAATAAAGATAACACTTTTAAAAATGTTCTAAGTATGATATAAGAATTGGAAATCTAGTATCTGTATATAGCATAAATTATGTTAGAAATATAATTTTTGGAAAATACTTGACATTTTTTCGTTTCAGTTATATATATACCCAAATGTCTGTTCAAATACGTCCATTGTATAAAAAAGAAGTAAATTAAGCTATTGGTTTGGATGTAATATTAAATTTAATAGGTTATTATTTAAGTTTGCGACTAAAGCTATCGAAAGGGACTAAACACGAAAATTTCAAAAAATTTTTCGATATGCAATAACAGTTTACCATATACATATAATTATTTAGATTGATTCTTCTAGAAATCTTTCTTCAAAATTTTAGTAAAACTAATTTAGCAAAATAAACTATAAGTTAGTCAGTTTAGTTTGTTTATATTAAAATTTCAGATATTTATACTAAAACAGTAAATGCCAAATCTATTTAATAATATCAAACTTGGCCCACCTTATATAAACTGAGCTTATATGTTTTGCCGTAATGCGTCGAATTCGTATTGTCATACTCTTAAAAATTTGAAATAAATGCAATTAAAAGAGATGACCCCGTAATGATTTTATTTTATTAATAATTGAATATTATAGTTTATAATATTATATAACATTATGATATTTTTATTAAGACCAAAATTTCTGTAAACAAAATATACTAGCTAGTATACTTAAATTTAATAGTTCACTTAGACAATTGGTATATAGTATACATATAATTAATGTACATGACCAGAAACACTTTATATATAAGTACTTTATTAAATAGTATTTCACATATTATAGTAACACTGACATAGTAAAATTTTTAAAAAAATATTATTCACCTCCTGTCCTAATAAATATTGTTATAATTTTTTTTTTAGTATGTGCTGACTAAAAATTTTATACAACCTGTCGTCTGTCTTTACATAATGTATACAATATTTTACTTACTTATTCTATATTATTGTTATTTCAATTAAAACTGTTATACATAATATTATAATATTTTAAGTGACATTATTATATTTTTTATCTCTGATAAAAATTTTCATATTTACATCTCTAATATTAATTATTTAGAATTATAACAATAATATTATTTTCTGATAATTATAAAATTTAATATTCACAATATACACGACTTATATTATTATACCTACATATATACATAAGTTGTTTAAATATAAAAATTTTATTTTATACACAGGCTAATTTATTGGGCTTCTTTTAATATTTAAATAATTACTATTTTAGAACATTTCGTATAATAATTATGAGTAACGTTATAATTATATACATACATGTGTATATACGTACATTAATATACAATTTAAATTTATTATTTACATTTCGTCAACACTATGTTGTTATGATAAAGGTATGTACATACATTTTTATGTACAACGATTTTTTATCACTAAAAATATAACAAATCACTCTTGCGTCTTACATTTGAAACCGATTTCAACTAGGTATAAACTGATTTATGTAATTAAATAAAATATTTTTTTTTTTAATTTTTCTCTTAAAAAAAAAAATTCTTTCTTTAAAAATATGAAATTAAATTTTTTTTCGTTTTCTTATTTTGTATGATTAATTAATAAACAAAAGGTCATATTTTGTACTAAAAACTCATCTGAGAGCTCAACAAGTAGTAGCTATAACAAATGAATTAAGATTTAAAAATAAGAAAATATTTCTGTTTTGTATAAGAATTTTTATTTTGATTTAATAAGGAAGCAAAGCTTTATAATCGGTTTTTTGTATTCTTTTATGTATGCCATACTTTTTGTTTTGTACTATGAAAACCTTAGTAAAGAGGTAGACAACTACAAAAATTCTATTCTTCATTCATTAAAGCTGAAATTCATAATGGGGATAATGTTGTCAAACTGTCTTTTTAGATTTTCATTAAGTTTACTCGTCTCATCAAACATTTTGAAATAAATTTTGGATACAAAGGCACTTTAACATTCAAATAGCGGTAATACTTACCAAGAAATTGGGGCAATAAATACTAATTATTGAAACATTTTAGTAATACAGTATTACTCTAATTGGGTAAATCGGACTCCGTTTTGTATAGGTTCCGCCGGGATGGCAAGGATACATTCTATATGGCTAACCTGCACTGGTTGTCAGGAGATGCAGATGGTTTTGACGGGGCTTCCTTAATATGGGTGAGCTTATTTCTAGCCTCCTAAAAGATATCTCCGGGATTTTGCTTGGGACCAGAGTAGTTTATAAGATATGACTGGCTAAGATGACTGACAGGGGGAATTCCTCTGCCCATGTTTCTGTCCAATGGTTATAGGTCATTATAGGTTTTACTTATGATATTAAAATTTGCAAATTGACATAGGAAAATCTAATAATTACTTTATTTAATAATCACATAAAAATATTTTGAATAATTTCAATCTAAAACTTAATTTATGTCGGTATCATTTTTCATACAGTTTAATCAACTACTAAATTATCTATGAAGAGAGAATAAATCTAATATGAAATCATCGTCTGAAGATATCATTTAAATGTTTTCAATGTAATTTTATTATATAAAAATTGTAAATATTAAGTTTATATATATACACACATATTTTTCACTCAAGTAAATCTCTAATGAAATATAGAGAATGAAAATACTATATTGACTGAGTAAAAATGTCTTCTCTTCTTATCAGTGAATTTGAGTAGAATGGGAATTTATTTTAACAATAAAACTAAATGAGCAATTGTATTCTTAATAATATTTAAAAAAAAAAAATATTGAGCTAATGAAAATGAAAAAGAAGACTAAGTTATAGCTACTCAATTCTCTATTTATGTATGTATATAAGTATCTTATCAAAATTAATAACTCAAATTGAATTTTTATATAAATTACCTACCAAGTGCATTTAAAAAGTTTTATAGGAAAATAGTTTTATTGTGAATATTGTACGAAATATTTATTAAATATTGTGAATATTGGCAGAAAATGTACATACATTACGTCATCCTGAGAGCAGAATTGATTCTTTCGACAGCGTCTTTCGTATATTAGGTCAATACAGATAATTGCTGAAATGTCAAATTACTGAATGTCAGCGATAAGATAATTCAATTTTTAAGTGTTATGGATTTTTTTGGTCTTATGATATACGAGATTCTTTACTATGAAACGAATGGTTCATACACATGTTTTTGAAATTTTAAGCCATCGTATAGTGGTTCCTTCAACAAAATCAACATTTTAAGCCTAATTAAAACCAGAACTTTTTTTATTAAAATTTTAAATTAAAAATTTTATTAATTTATTGAACTAATATAAAATTTACTTTATATTTTCCATAAGTTTTCAATCTGTACGGTTTTATGAATATTTAATAAAAAAAACCTGTGGTAAATATTCATTAGATTTGTAAATGATCGGTAATTTATTTAAGGAAGAAACCAAAAAAGTAGATTTTCTAGACATTTTTTTTACAAATTTCAGGTTTTAATTAGAAATTTTAATATAAAATTAATAGGGTAACTCATAATAAATTTATTATAAAAATTTCGACCCAATCACAGGCATGTTACTTCTTATTATATTCAACTTTATTAAACATTTATACACATTGGATATCGAAGATTTTTAGGATATTTTTAAATTTTATAATACAAACATAACCTTAAATATCTATTTCATCCCATGTATGTGGTCATTTCTAAAAATAAGTGGTTTATACAAAGTGAAAATCTGGTAGAGTTTAATTTTTATTTTATCATACAAATTGTTATATGAAAATTATATAAAATATAAAAAATATAGACTACTCAATATAATATAGTTATTATGATTTTAAAGGATATTAGCTATTCGAGTTACTTCAGAACAAAACTTATAACAACATAGGAGTAAAATACATTTATAGTCATAATGCATATACACACACTACATTTGTTATCTATGCTACTGTATTAGGTTATAAAATAATTTCATTATAATCAAATATTAATAATGAGCAAAAGGTTTTTTTTTTCTTCTACAAGTTGTGAGGGATATCTTTTTTCTATTATTATTTATTTTATTTGACCCTGGCTATTTGATTTTTCTAATTAAATAGCCAGATCCTTTTTTTGAATTTCTTTTCATAATATATGAATGTATGGTTGTAGGTTTGTTCATTTTAAATGGATGATAATATTAAAATTTAAAAATAATTTGCTGATTTTAAATTAATAAAAATATAATTAATATATAAGGTAACAACAAGAGTTACTTTATATATTATTAATACTTACATATTTTATATAAAATATATTAAAGATTTATTAATAATTCATTTAAATTTTTTTATAATAAATGTAATTTTTTAATTTTTTATTTTTCTAGTGTTTATATCTCCTTCGATGGGATCCCACATTTCCGTGGTATGAAGGGACTGAAGTAGCATCAATGATCTTGAGAGCGATGTCGATTGATAATACAACGTTTTGGTTTCTGGCAGTTTCAACCATGCCGATAATGTCGAAAGTAAAGCCTGAAAACAAAGAGAATCTGCTGTGAATGAAGTATCGACGTAAACTTATTTTCAATAAGTTCCCCTCCCAATTCAGTGGTGTCATACGACCCGTGCCTAATACAAAATGGTGTTATACCATCCGTGCCTAAATTAATTAATTCATTTTACTTAATGCCAGAACCCTAATTAAATTTGAAATAATCGAGGTACTGGTTCGGTTATAACTTCAGAATTTATTTGCCTATTGCTCAGAAATTATAGATGCTATGGTATTGAAATTCGGCACAGGCGAATTTATTATTAGGACTGTTATGTTTAATAAAAGCCGTTGAAATTTTTCGACTGATTGTGACAGCTTCCGTGATATACATACAGAGGTAATCATAGTATTTATAAATGCATTGTTAAAATTTGTATTTAGCATTTAGTTCATTATTTTAATATTATTTCAATATAATTTTGTTGGTGTGCAATTAATAAAAATTAATTATATGTATATAATGTATCTACCTACATAAAATATCTATGAATGTATATTATACAGGGTGTTCGCATAAGGTTCGAGTTTTCGTCTCGAAAACTATGGCTCAAATGATATTCTTAGATCAAAAATAAAGAGTAATAAATTGCTTGTAAAACAAGACCCCGATGGTTATCGTATTTCGCAACGTTCCGAAGGTATTCCGAAGTTACCTGTTTTCTTTCAACATTCTGAAGCTTAATAATGTGTATATGTGAAACCCATCCAACTCCCCCCCCCCCCTAAATTTTTTAGACAATTTCTTTACTGTAAATTGATCAAAGACTCGTCCCTTAAATTATTTGCGAACTTATGCGAAATATACCACCCTGTATAAATACTACAAATTTTAATTCTTTATAAAATTACTGTTATACATTTCAGATTATCCTAGAAACTAATAAATATAAAAGTACCATTTGTGTTTAATTGTGCGAATAATGGAATTCTTTTGGAATTCTTTTACAATTTTCTTACCTTTTATTTTTCAGAATTTTTTTCATTTATTTTTTGTTTTATAATCAAAATTTATGTACTTATGTACTATACTGTTATACAATAATTCTCATATTATATACATATGCATGTATATAAATAAATGGATTTTTTTTTATTCGAAGTTTTCATTTCGAAGTTTTTATTTTAATAAACAAAAAAATATAAAAAATTTTGTATACGTAATGTTGCAGATGCAATTTATTTTTGCAACTTTTTAAAAAATATGTTTTTTTATTTTCGATCTAAATAACATTAAGTAAAATTCATTTATAATTTTATATTGTCTAGTTATTGTCTGCCACATGAACACCAGGAATTATTTTTAATATTCTCCTATTACGTATAGAGTAGAAGAGGTATTTTTGAAGAAACCAATAATTCAAATGTTCTTCCTTGTAGCTTTGTATATGGAAAAACTGTAGACAGTTCTAATATTCTTCGTATCGCATAATTCGCTGATTTACAACAATTAACGCTTAATTTTAACTTGAAATTTGAAATTAAATGAATTTGTTCTATTTATAATGATCATATTAAATTACTCCCTGGATTTTTAATTGTTGTCTTTTAAAAGAACGTTGTTTTATTTTTTGTCAAAATTATTCTTTGCCAAAACTTATGAAACACCTTTAATTTTATAAATGTGGGGTATAAAAGTAGCAAATGTATAACACAGGTATTCTTAAATTTGGAAGTTTATTCTTTTTAATGGCTTTGTATCAAGGTGTGCTATAATAAATTTTAAAACTAAATGTACGACATATTTAAATGGAGCCAAAGTTTTTTTTTTATATTTTATTCCAAAATTTTTGTCTATATCATTTTATTTTAAAATAAGGATATTTTTAGGAAGAAATCATAAAGAAATAAAAATTATATTTTCATAATTCAAAATTGATTTTAATTTCCAACCGAGGTACGTCCTACAAATATATA